TAGGAAGGATAGTTCAAGGTTTCCCCCAATAACTCACTAGTGGTACCCATCATGATGTTGTAAATCATAAGCAGATGGATGCTTCATAGCCATTATTATACATCTTTCACCCTGTCCAAAAAACAGATACTTGAAAGACTGACTTGAAAAAATATCTCATAATATGATTTCATGTTATCACAGAGAAGGTAGCTACTGTCTCATGCTTGCAGAGGGCTTGTCAGTATTTCACTTTATCCTCACTAGGTAGGGACTAAAGAGTAGCAAAATGTCCACCTCTGGAGTCTTTCCTTGTATTAACTACTCTATTAGATTACATCTAATCCATTGTACCAGCCCAGTGATGGAGAAAACAACTAATCTACAGAATTCTTGCCCCCAATTACTTTTAAGTTAGAAATTATCCAGGAATTTCCATCATGGGCTCCCTCTCTCATCCAGGTTTGGGTTCTTTTCATTTGGTAAGAATGTCTCAAATTAGAGTTCACAACAGTGATTGTGAACTCACATTGATAGGCTGGTTGGAATTGAAAATTAAACAGGTAAACCTGATGGTAGGTCTGAGGTCTTATCTATATCTAAAATCTGAAATTTGGAAGACTGAGGCAAAAGGATCAAAAATAGCAAAAATATACGATCTACCTCAGCTACAGTATTGTGAGTTCAAGAGAGCCAGAGATGTGGTGGTGTGGGGAGGGGAGTGATGGGAGGGCTATCTGTGTGCCTTGTGGGCTATTGTGACAGTCACTGTATTAGAACACAGGTAATTCTTGTGAACCTTATATAAGCATTGGTATACATGGTAGCCTTTTTTCTGCACTCTTTTGAAAACAGCCCCATACATCACCCAAGAGGCTCTTAGTATGTTGAGCTTGATTCAGAGAGAAGTCCTTTTCTGGTCCCCATCCCACCCGTCTGGCAGGTATCAGCAGCAGCAGCAGCTCCACAGGATAACACAAATGAGTCTGTGCCGAGGCATTTCTGCAAGCCCAAGAGGGTATCTCCTGAATGATGAAGCCTGTACATCAGTGTAAAAACCTGTGAAATTCTGTCTTCTTGAACACACATGGACTCACAGCACACATGAACACACACCAATCAAAATTTCAGTGTGGATGGAGTCTTGAGACCCCACTATTGCTGAGCAGCTACCTATAGGGAGGTTGATGGCTACTGAGTAAAAGTCATTTGACTTTGGGGGTGGCTGCTGATGGGTTGCCGTGCCCCACAGAATGATCCTATATCCATAAGCATATGAACAGCTCTGATTGGATTCAATGGCGTATTAGTTATAAAACTTAAAGGGCATAGAGTTGGGGCTGCGGGATCTGGATGAGAGTAGTGGGGGTGGGTATGGTCAAAATACGTTTCATACATGTGTAAAATTTTCAAAGAATTAAAAAACCATAAATATAGTTTATATAAAGATAAAACAAGATCAAGAACTTGCTATACTGTTCAAGGCCAAAAATTCAAATTCCAGAACTAATATTAATACTAAATGGATTATTGTTTTTAATATTTTTAAAGGTTCTTATTCCCAAGATATATAATTCGCATATATTTAGTGCTATTTTTGGTGAATGGTATGTGAGTTGTAAGCAGCTCAGAAGGCCTATGCTGAGAAGGTAAAGACCAAAACTATAGAAAAGCCATTAAAAAACAAAGCTTCCTATCCACACAAAATCCCTATCCTAAGTTGCTTCTAGTGGTAGTCACCTTTCGTAGCTGTTTGACTTCTGTATAAGTTTGCTTTTCTGTTGCTGAGACACCATCACCAAGGTGATTTATGGAAGAGAGGACCGTTTGGGCTCTGGCCCCAGAAGACAAAGAGTTCATCACCATCAGTCACAGTGGGGAAGTATAACAGCAGGCAGGGCCACACGGTGGCTACAACATCTTTAACTTCAAGCAGGAAACAGAAAGTGAACTCGAAACAGCTTCTGCTGTTCCTTTAAACTTTCAAAGTCTGTCTCCAATGAAATACTTCCTCCAATCAAGGCTCCATCAGCTAAATCTCCCAAACAAAATCACCCACTGGGGACTAAGTATTCAAACATCTGCACCTATGGGTCATTCTCATCCAAACTGCTACATTCTACTTTCTGTCTCCTATAGGCTCCTGCCCATTTCATAACTGTTTAAAAGTACAAAATCTTTTCTGAGAATCCAGGCAATCTCTTAGCTGTAACTCACTGTAAACTCAAAAACCAAATTGCATATTTCTAATAGATCACATCACAGAATACATATTAGGATTGCAAAGGGGAGAAATGAGAGTACAATAAGAAAATACTGGACCAAAGCAAGATCAAACTCTAGTAGAGCAAATGTCAAATCTTATGTGTGACTTCATGTGGATGTAAAGGGGATTAGATGACTGTGCCCTTTCAGCTTGGCTGCCTGCAACATACATTTTTCTCTTGGACTGGTTCTGTGTATACCACTCCTTGACAGATAACTCATAGCTCTATCATTTCCTACATCTTGTAGTCTCTAATTCAAACCAGACTTCACTCCTACAGATAAAAACTCTCAGGGAATCCAGGTAGGGATGTCCCAGCCACATATTTGGCCTCAGCAGATCTCTGAAGTTATGAATGAAGATTCCCCATTTCTTTTACGCATGTATCCTTTGTGACTCTAAAGCCACCACTATGAAGATGTCACTGCCAATTATGGTGGCCATCTTGGGATGGCCCCTGGCTCCTCGAGTCACATTTGCAGCAGCTGTTGGTGTGCCTTTCTTGGAATGTTATCTGGCTGGGGTGTTGCCTGAGGGTGTCCTTTCCTGTATTTCACCACAGATTAAGCTTCCCTTAATCTCTTTATCTCTTTACAAACTTCGATTGCAACAGCGTCCTTTCTCGGTAAACTGTACATTCTGTATTTCTTTCCATCTCATTTGCTCTTTGTTGATGTTGTTGTAGACCTGCAATCATATAATAACCTGTAACCATGTAACAGCCAATGTTTGGCTGTCTTGAACTCTTCTAAGCCAAAGAATTCAGTCCATTACTTTAATATTTAGTTTTAGACAAATTCTTCAAACAGGAGCAAAAAATAACCATATTCTTTGCCAAAATATCATAAAAATGGTCTTTCACCCAGTTCCTAATGTAGTGTTTCCTACCAAACTCTTTCAATGGGGCTTTCACAGTCTCTGTTGCCCCAGGCACTGTCTTCCAAGTTCCCACTAAGACAGCCCAGTAAACTCTGCTTACAGCATTCAACCATTTTTCTTGCCGCAAGTTTCCAAGCCTTCTCCAGCCCTCCAGAAACAGCAAGGTCAGGTCAGTCATAGCAGGACACACTCCTGGTGCTGCTTTAGTAATTGCTCATCAAAAGGAGACTGCTTCTGAGGAGGGATTAAAAAATCAAATAGAATGATCCATAGACAGTCAACATCTTTACCTGTCTTTGATTGTATAACAGAGTTGCCATGGTGGCAGAGATGGAGATTATTTATGGCTTTGATAACATGTACTTCCACTCACAGAGCTGACCTAGTATGCTACTGAGTGCCACATCTGCCAGTAGCAGAGACCAACACTAAATCCCCTATGTAGTACCATTCTCTAGGGTGACCAGCCATGGACTTAGTCACCAATTGACCATATTGGACTGTTCCTTTCATGGAAAGAGCCAATACTTTGTCATTATGGAGTAGATATTACATCTGGTTAAGGATTTGCCTTTCTTGCACGTAATGCTTCTGGCAAATCTATCAGCAGTGGGACATACAGAATGTCTTAGCCACCATTAGGATATTCCACATACACTGCTTCTGACCAAGAAACTCAATTCACAGCTAGAGAAGAATGACATTAGGCCTATGTTCATGGATCCTCCAGTCTTAGTATTTTCCTCAAGCAGCTGACTTGATACAATGGTGGAATGGCTTTTTTAAGGCACAGATACAGTGCCAACTACGTGACAGTAATATGGAAACCTGGGGCTGGGTTTTCCAGAAGGTGGTATATGCTTTAAACAGTGTTCAATATATGTTACAGTTTTTCCCACAGCCAGGATCCAAGAACAAGTGGTAGAAAAGGGAATGGTTCTGCTCATTATCACCCCTAGTAATCCACTAGAATTTTTTTTTGAAGAAAAAAGGATTGTAACTGATAAGAGTATTTTTGTCCTATTTTATTAAGGAGATGTTTATATGTGTACATATGTGCATATTTATATGTGTATGTACATATACATATTGTACTAGTGTTTCCACTTTCTTTTCTTTATTTAGCATCGATTGAGATAATATCAATGGTTAATTATAAATCTATATTCCTACATTCAAATTATGAGACATGACAAGAATAAGCAAGGGATTTGCCATCTATTCTAAACTATATATAAAACATTTGCAGTTGTATGTGGAATAGGTATACCATACTGGGTGAAATCATGGCCTGATTATTGTTTTCCTTTGGAAATAAAGCATGACATAAGTTGATGTGATTGTACATCAAGTTGATAGTAGACTTGTGATGGCTAATCTTGGTTGTCAAATTAACTAGACCTAGACTCAACTAAAACCCAAGCTGCTAGGCATAACTGTGGGCTATATTCTTCTTTCTTTCTTTCTTTCTTTCTTTCTTTCTTTCTGTCTGTCTTTCTTTCTTTCTTTCTTTCTTTCTTTCTTTCTTTCTTTCCTTCCTTCCTTCCTTCCTTCCTTCCTTCCTTCTTTCTTTCTTTCTCTGTCTTTCCCTTCCTTTCTTTTTTTTTTAACAGAAATCCTTTACTTTTCTTTATTTTCACATGTTAAAAAATGAAACACACTATACAAATGATTTCTATAGCAGATTATGTGTGGATCCATTCAGACTTGATCTCAGTGCTGCCTCAGATGACAGCATTAACCAGGGAGCCAATGTATTGGTTTAAGCACAGTAGCATGTGGCCTCAGCATGGAAGGTTCGGTTCTCCTCGTTTGTAAGTTAAGGTAAATGGCGTTGGTGTCAGTTTATAGAGTGAAACGTGTCAGTCCTGAGCAGTCAGGCTGTAGCCTGAGACCAGCGGGTAAAAACTGTGGAGAACATGTTTGCTTGAGCATCGTCACTAGCACTGCTCTGATGCACTAGTCTCTCGGCAAGCATCTTTGCAGAGAACTTCTGAAACATATCTTTGTTCTCGATGTACTCAAAGACCACCATCGCTTCATTGAGGGTGTCTCCTAGTTCTGCCTCTCCTGGGTTCTTGGAAGTTTTCTTCAACAAGGAGTCACAGTACTGAACTAGCAGCTCAGGAGATTTACTGGATGACTGGGCCATTTGGTAACCGCGCTGTTGTTTATGAAGTGACCGCAAGCCTTACCAAGTGTATCCATGAAGCCAGTGTCATTGTTGAATGTTGACATCACCAGGGCATTGTAATCCAGGACTGTCTGCACATATGTCTTTGAGTCATTTAAAGCAGCTTCTCCATACTTCTCAATTGCTGCAAGACCCTGATTATGAATGTGTGTCTCTAGTAGTTTTTTCCAATTCTCCTAGGCCATCCTGAATTCTAGATACAAGATTGTAAATGTGGTCCAAATCTTCACTCTTGCAGCATCCAACACATTCTAGAACTCTGTGCGGAAGATTTCCAAGTGTTTTTCAAAGCTCACATTTCTGTGCTAACTCATCTTGTGTGTGTTCTCATGGAGGTAAATTGCACTCACCACTGTTTCTCAAGCAAACAAGCCTCAGGCTTTTTCATATATTCAGTAACTGGGTTTGGCTGCAAAAATTCAGTACTTTCTCTGGTATAAAATTTCTCTGTGTCAGCCAAATATTGAGATTCAAAGGATTCTTTATACACTGTTAACATAGGGCCCTTTGCAAGTGCATCACCTTCTTTCAGTCCCAATTCCACATAAGATTGTACAACTCCACTAATTAGTCTCGTATTGAGGATTTGCCATTTCTTTGATCTTATTCCTGAGGGTTTCTTTTGCTGGTATAAGTACCAACTTGTTAAGGATTCCTAAATAGACTGAAGATCAGGAGCTCTCTAGAAATTCTCTAGGAATTCAGTGAGAGACTGGAATTCCTGAGACTGTGAACCCAGAAAGTACTGAATTCATATATATATATTCATTCTATCAACTTGCTTTAGAGAACCCGGACTAATATAACTCTTGAGCTACTTTTATTCCAAGGGTCTATGATTAGATTTTAACAAGCTTCCAAAAGATGGCTTCTTTAGAAAAATAGAGTACCTTATATCCATTCACTTTCAGTTATATTCAAGCAAAAAAAGTGTTTTTTTTAAAACTATTGTAGTAAAATGTATCCCTGAAGCTGTGGAGGTGGCTTAGTAAACAAAGCTCTTGCTGTCTATATATGAGAAGGACGTATGGATATTACATCCCATGTAATGCTGGATGCTGTAATGGGCACCTGTAATTTCTGAAATGCCTAAGGCAAAGTTGGAGGCAGATACTGGAAAATTCAAGAAACTTGTAAGCCAAAACTGTTGTATGCAGTAGTGAACAAAAGACCCACTCTCAAGATTCGAGGAAGGCAAGAGTACTAGCACTTAAGGGAGTTCTCTGAGCTGATGTGTGCTGCATGCCAGCACTCACAGACACGAACACTCACATGTCCACACACATATAAACACAACAGATATCAGACATGCATATATAAAAAATAGTAAATTTCAACTAGCAAAAAAAATTAAACAAGCAAAAAATATTCCTTGAGTTACAGTGAATAGCCCAATTTGAGAATTTCTGAACATAAAATGTTAATGTCATGTTCTCCAAAGAGCACCGCTTGGCAATGATGTATTATTCTGTTGTTTTCCATAAATGTATTTATCTTACAGAATTTTTCTATCTTGAAACATATACCTGCTTTCATAGTTTCAGACACATGCTATGCTGGATAGTTTTATGTCAACTTGATACAAACTATAGTCATCTGAGAGGAAGAAACCTCAACTGAGGAAATGCCTCATAAGACTGGATTGTAGGCAAGGCTGTAGAGCATATTCTTAAATAGTGATAGACGGGAGAGGGCCCAGGGCATTGTGGGTAGTGCTATCCCTGGGTTGGTGATCCTGAATTCTGTAAGAAAGGAGGGTGAGCAAGTGATGATGCACAAGCCAGTAAGTAGCAGTCATCCTCCTGCCTCTAGGTTTCTGCCCTGTTTGAGTGAGTTTCTGTACTGACTTCCTTCAGTGATAAACAGTGCTATGGAAGTGTAGGCCAAGTAAACCTTTTCCTCCCCAGTTGCTTTGGCCATGGTGTTTCATCACTGTCGTAGTAACCGTGCCTGACACGTGTGTTTAGGTTAGGTGATGAATTATTGTATTAATTTATAGTAGACCATTAAATCATATTTGTCATAAGAAAGACAAAAGAAAAATGTGAAGCAGTTAATGAAAAGTTTATGTTCTTGTGAAACATTGTTAATGCAAAATTAGCCAAATTCATTATGAGATTAAAGAATCTACAAGGCTTTTGCATTTTGTTATAACATTGCATAATGTTGTATTCCTGTCTTAGCTATATTATTTGATATGAATTTCCTTATTTACTCTTGATAGTCTAGATTTGAATTTTGAAAAATAGCTGATAGGAAGTTATTGGTGCTTAACTTTAAAGACACAGTATGTTTGAGTGTAAAATATTACGATTCCTAAAATTAATAAAAGATTAAGAAGCACAAAATACACATTTTTAAGTACTATAAGCAAATACCCAGGAAGGGATCTGAATAATCTTTACATAGGTGAATATGTCGCCAGAATAATATTACTATGTAATTGGATATGCCAAATCTCTACTGTCAGAATTTACATTATAGCTATGGAAAAAATGGAACAATGAGTAGGAGTTGTCACAGGTTTGATTGTGACTCCAGAAGGCAGGAGCTGGAGTTTCCAGGTTCTTGTGTCTCTATACAATGACCGGCACAGAGACACATGGATTATTACAGGAAATGGGGATTGGTGAAGAGGGACAGAGATGGCTGGAGGTGTGCCACACCTTCCCTGTGGCCTGGCAGGGGGAGAGGGACATGCGGGAGGTCTGCAGTGACCTTGTATGGGTTATTAACATAAACTTGCCTCTTCCAGATTCTTATAACCAGGGCTTTTTTTGAGCACTCCCCTTTGGATGCATAAAACAGAGATAGTGCACTTGACAAAGGAACCCAGCAGCACCAAGGGATAGAAGGGAATTTGTGATGATGTCAGCAGTGAGCAAAGTAAATTTACAGGGGATAAAAAAAATGGGGCTTCTAAAGCCAGGTGGAAGAGTTTATGAAGGAAGAAATCTTGTTCTGATACAGACACATAACTGACTGGAAGAATTAGCAAGGGAGACATCTAAAGTCCTCTTGGAAGAATGGAGAATCGGCATCCAGAGATCGCTGGGCCCATTCTCTTTGTAGCTATGATGTCCAGGCAAACTGCAAAAATATACTTTAAGTTAACTAGTTCTTCCAAGTGATGAGGTATAGACATCTCAGGCGTACCTGAGTACTTTCCAAGTACAAAATTCTGCTACACCCGAGTAATGCAGATACTTTCCCTCTCTTCTTTTACTCAGCCAATGAATGAAGTCTAGCCTCCTTAAATGGCATCTTAGCTGCATAATCTTTATTTCATGCCACTTTGAATAAATGATTAAGGAACAGCATTTCCCCAGAAGCACAGAAGCAGACCTTATTAGGTAGCTCCATAATAAATTCTCTAAGCTGAGCAGAGCAGCAACGTGAAAACAAAGAGGACAGTGTCACAAAGAAAGTGAATATATACAAAATGATGCCCACACAGGATACCATTAATGAATAAAGAAATTTCTTTGGACCTATAACAGAGCTATAGGGGAACAGAACTAGGCAGGGAAAACAAAACAGAATGCTGGGAGGAAAAACGAGGAGTCAGGGAGAGAAGCCATGGAGCTGCCAGAGTCAGACATGCCAAATCTTTGCCAGTAAGCCACTGCCACATGGCGATATACAGATGAATAGAAATGGGTTAAATTAATATAAGAGTTAGCCAATAAGAAGCTAGAGCTTATGGGCCAAGCAGTGTTTTAATTAATATAGTTTCTGTGTGCTTATTTTGGTTCTGGGCAGCCGGGACAAGCAAGTGGCCTCCTCCTACAGCTCCATAATAATTTCTCTAAACTGAGCAGAGCAGCAATGTGAAAACAAGGAACACAGTGTCAAAAATGGGGTGATTATGTACAAAATGATGCCCACACGGGAGTCTAAATACACATTGTTGATGGTTTTTAAGTAATTTATTGGAAAGCATAGACGGTTTTAGACCTCCTAATTATTTTGCCATACAAGATTGAAACTCAAGCAATATAATTATGTAACATTTTGGTATAAAATTAATAGCTGAATAATAGATGCAAACCAATCAAGAAGTAAGAAGTTTTTAGCAATGATACTGTATATAGATTTTTTTCTTTTACTCAAGGAACTATCTGGGCCAATAGTTTGTTTTCCTTTTTTATTTTATGTTTCATTTTGAAAACAATACTGCATTTCAGCACCAAGGTTTTTCTTCCTTTTTTAAAAGGCTACAACAGTTCTGTTTATGCACACTTTTCAGGCCTTTGGGTCTGATGGTGGAATAATATAACAACTCCAAGACACAAAGTACCTTCATATTCCTTTAGCTTCAAACCGGTTCTATTCTAAGCAAAAATAAAAAAGATGAACATAGTTCAAGAGAGCTCAATTAAGCAAATAAATAACTGCTTCATAAAGTACTGGGTGTAAACAAGGCCACCTCAGTGGCCACAAGGAAATTACTCGGGCACATAAAAACCCAAAGCCAGCAGTTATCAAAGGGCCAACTGGTGAGGGTTAGCTACGAAACTGCTTGCCAAGTAACACCTTCGTTTTCTAGTTTTTTTTTTAATGGATCAGAAAAATCTGAACTGTAATAATCTAAAACCCTGAATTTATTCTAAAAATAACTATCTTAAGAATGTTTAACACAACATCTGGAGGTTAGTAAGAAATTACCCAAGCAGTGTAAACAAGCTTCAAATATCATAGTAGAAAAAATTCACAAAGATTTCTGTAAACATTTAAAAAAAAATCTACCTGCAAAAACACAGGTATCATTTAGTTGTGTATTCTGAGAAATTCTTAGATTTTGTTTTTGTTTTTTGTTTTGCTTTGTTTTACTTTTTTCCCCCAATACCATCCTAATGATAGCTGAGCTTTTCTCTAATAGGTGCCTCTGTCTGAGGTTTGTTAAATGGTCCATTTGCCTTTGCTGAAGTCATTATTTGTCTCCATACATGGACGTCACTTAGTCATTTCTGTGCTCATGCATTGTGACATTACAGCACATTTTTTATCCTACTTTGTAAAATCAGTGTATTTATTTGATCTGCCAAACCACTGGTTACAAATAATATGCAGCTTTATCAAAACTTTTAGCCTCGTTGGTTAGTTTCTCTACCACTCTTGCTCTGCTTCCATGTTTGAAATACTTAAAAGCTCATCACTGATAGTAATTTAGCCAAATAATGGATTATTTAGACATGGCAGCATATTAAAAACTTTTAAACTAAAAGTCTATTTGGAAGAAAATCTGTGGCCTCTGCAACCTTGCTGGTAGGTGGTGGACTGACTCTAGTAATCACTGCTGTGATTTGGACTCCAAGCTGACATATCACAAGTTACAAGGAAAAGAGTCTTTTAATGCAACTTTGCCTTTTCTTGTTGGGTAATGAGTTACAGCCCTAGCCCTGTCTTTTCTTGAAGTCTCTTCCCTTATGTAAGCAGTATTCAAACAACTACCTTAAGCAAAGGCCAATATTTAATGCTTTAAAATCCATGGCATAATTCATTAAATCAAAACCAGCTTATTGGAGTTGACAGCAATTTCTCTTTAGAGAGGGCTCTCACGGGCCAAGAACTACTCCTGCTTGATAATTTTAGAGAAGGTCTCCATATCGTCCTGGTGAGAGCAGAGCTGATGACTTTCTCAAATTCTATATTAAAAATTAGAGAAAACTATGTAAGTATATTTTAAATGGTGCCAGAACTGTCTAGATAAATATTTATAGGAATGCCAGTGTTAAGTGATTCAACCATAACAAGACTGCAGACATTTTCCTCTATGTCCTTATTAGAATGAAACTTTCTTCAGGTTGGTATACTTTTCTTCTATACCATCTGCCCACCTCCACCAAGTACTCTAATAAAAATAAATTGGAGTGTTTGTTCTAAAGACATTAATTTCTTGGAAATGCTCCATTATACACCTGTTAGGCATTTCCCGCAACCATTATTTTGATATTAAGGCATCCCAATTGCTCTTCGTACCTCAAAGACACATGTGACACCAAGCGAGAACTTGAATTTTGCTTTACTTTTATCTTTGTTCATGATCTAAATCTTTTAAAAATTGAAATCCTTGAAATGAATTTAAGCCATGAATTAGGCATTGCATTGCCTAGTTTCTGTAATCAAAGAAATATTTTAATTCCCTAGGATTTGAAATGATCTCTTTGCTTTCAATTCATTTTACTTAAGGTGTAGAGAAATGTTTACAGACGTTTTTCACCTCCAAGTTTGGCTCAATGACAGAGAATACGAGTATTCAAGTGCTGTTAAGCAAATGCAGCCCTACAAGGGTACGGATTCCTGTAAATCAATCTGCAGAAGAGAACAATCTTAATTAACCTGCAGTATATTTGACCAAATAATCCTTCTGAAATGTTCTTTACTTTAGGATCTGTGGCCTCCATCCAGAGCTCCTGCAGATCTTGTAAGTGTCCATGAGATGTCATCATCTTTTCATAGATGCAAGGATGATAAGGAGCCTTACCTTCCCCAGAGAAAAACATATGGTCCTGTGGCACTATCCCCATTTTATTGGCACACAGACCCATGAACACATCATCTATGTACAGACTGGAGTTCAGCATCTGTGATGCTTCATAGACTTTGGCAGCTACATCACTGGAAATGACATAGGCAGCCCCAGCTGTATAGTCAGGGTAAGCTGGCCATTGGTACATTTCATAGGGAACATAGTATTTGCTGCTTTTATCCCTAACAGGAGGGCCGCCACGATGAACATGACCAATCCAAAAGTCTCGAACACCAATTTGCTCTAGCCCTTGAAGGTATTGGATGAGGTTTGGCATGTGGATAAATATGTCATCATCAGCCGTCATCAGGAATCTGGCGTGTGGACAAAAGCTGTTTGTCCAGCTGAACTGAAGGAGTAGTTTTAAAGTAAGATTGTAGAAAGAATCAACAAAGTCTTGCTGAATTATGTCTTTGTACTTTTCGTCTTCCCAAATTAGTTTTCTCTGCAGTTCTTCCCTCTTTGGTGGAGCAGGAGTCCCCAAGGCAAACAGAATTTTGATGTTGGCATTCAGCTGGGACCGGACATAATCCTCATTGCCCCATGTTTTTCTGATTGCAGAGCGTCGGCCATAGTTTTCAGGGGCCGTCTTAATGAACAATAAGAGGAGGACGTCTTGAGCCTGACACTTTTCTTTGTGGTTGATCAAGTATTGGTAGTGAGGTTGTTCGGAGCTGTGCTTGAGAGACAGGGAATCGTTCACAAAGCCATAGCTATTCACGAGGTATCTGTAGGAGTAGGACTTCATATGGTTCACAATGTGATTATTGATGGGGCCCCAGAAAACCATGAAGCTTAATATAAAACAAGTGGCAAAGAGCTGAAAAAATTTCCATCTTTTGCCTCTTCTGCCACTAACAAACATTCTCATGTTCTCAGGTCTGTTGTAAACGGCTGCTTGCTTCTTCAAGACGATAGCACTTCGTATTTGCAGGATAGATGTGTTTCTTAATACATATTGGTCATAAAAGATAGGACGGTCTCATTCCACATAGTATTCTCTTCTAGCAACATTTCTCTGGGATTGCAAAGGGATGGAGCACTATAGTACAATGACACTGACACATCCAAGGTCGCCCACCGGGCATTCCTCATTAAATTCTGTGCACGGCCTCATGTCGTTGTTCCATGTGGTTCTTCCTGTGACCATGCACTGTGACCCTAAGAAAAGGACAACACATGAATGGGTCACTGAGTTACCATAAAGGAAAGATCACTCCTTGTCCCTTAAGCCAAATGTCACCTTTGTGGCATTAGCATTTAATAAGTGAAATTAAAAAGAAAAGAACTGGAAGAAAATACTTGATACAGGCTTTTTATTCAGAATATTGACAACTTTATTTCTTCCTGCTCTTAAAAAAGGAGCCTCCCAATAGCTGTCATCTCTATATTTACAATTTAAATGCAAGTCTACAGCATAAACCCCAGAACAAATCCTGCTTTGTACCCTTGTACTTGTAATTGTGTATCTCCATCATTGATGTTGATATAAAAATGATTGTACTCATTGAAGACCCTGAAGAAGGAGCCTAATTCTAGTTGTAACACTGCCTTCCAGACCACTGGGTTTTCAGGTTCTCCTCTCTTTCCCTTTTCCCACTATTACTCCTAGTCAGGGTAGTAACTTCAAAGGCTAGTCATGAGAAATGTCCAAAAAAGGAGATGAAAGCAAGCTCCACTGAGACCATGTTCATAGCTAATCAACATGGATGGCACAACATGGTAGGATATCAATTTTAAAACTGCAAAAACTTCTTAGGTGCGAGTTCCTTGGGCAGCAGAGGAGAGGGTGCCTTGTCCCATAGCCACACTGATGAATATCTTGTATATCACCATAGAACCTTCATCTGGTGATGGATGGAGATAGAGACAGAGACCCACATTGGAGCACTAGACTGAGCTCCCAAGGTCCAAGTGAAGAACAGAAGGAGGGAGAACATGAGCAAGGAAGTCAGGACCACGAGGGGTGCGTCCACCCACTGAGATGGTGGGACTGATCTAATGGGAGCTCATCAAGGCCAGCTGGACTGGGACTGATGGAGCATGTGATCAAACCACTCTCTGAATGTGGCTGTCAATAAGGGCTGACTGAGAAGCCAAGGACAATGGCACTGGGTTTTGATTCTACTGCATGGACTGACTTTGTGGGAGCCTGGTTTGTTTGGAAGCTTACCTTCCTAGACCTGGATGGAGGGGCGAGGATTGGACTTCCCATGGGGCAGGGAACCCTGACTCCTCTTAGGACTGGAGAGGGAGGGGGGTGGGGGGAGTGGGATGGAAATGGGAGGTGGGGAGAAGGTGGAAATTTTTAATAATAAAAAAAAAACTGCTTAGGAAACCACAACTGCAAAAAAAAAAAAAAACCAAACAAAAAACAAAACAAAACAAAACAAAACAAAAAACCAGTATAAAGAAAGCAGTAGATGTGAGTCTTATGTTGCATGCACTCACAGATGCAATGTTAATGCATTAGTGGGCTTGATTATGAAAAGGTTGAATGCCTCACCCCAACAGATCAGTATGGCAATGCCTTTCTACCCCTCCATATGCTTATCATATCTGGATTGAATACTCTAAAGGTGAGAAAAGCAACAAGAAACACTAGTTTCTAATGCTGGTTTCCGCCTCAAGTTTGCAAAGTAACTTTAATACAGGGGCAACGTCTTTGTTTGTCATCATTCAGTTAAGGGATGCCTGTGAAGGCAAAACATAAAGGATCTAGAGACTTAAATTGAGGTAATAGATAATCCTTGATGGATGAATCTTTTAGAGCAGCATCAATCAACATTTAAGAAGTCTAGAAAAACTCTCACTTAGACCAAATCTATAGTTTCTACTCCAACAGATCTAGGAAGAGGACAAAGGTTGGCAAGTGTGACGATTAATGTTGATTGTCAGCTCTTCAGGATCTAGAAGCACCTAGGAGACAAACCTTTGACATGTCCTGTGAATGGAGTTCTCCACTAAAAAACAAAAGAAAAAAAAAAAGAAAAAAAAAGAAAAAAGGGAAGCAAGCAGAAGTCCAGCATTCGCTTCTGTCTGCTGCTTGACAGTGGATGAATGGTCTGTGACCCATGCTTCATCTTTCTGCTGCCACAACTTCTTGGCCATGATGGATACCCTCAAACTGTGAATCAAAACAAACTTTTCTTTCCTTAAGTTGATTTTGTCAGGTGTTTTGTCCTATTAATGAGGAAAAAAGAATACACTAACTTTTGGAATGTAGGGAAGTACAGACAGACATTGGGCTGGAGATTTAGGAACTCTTCTAGATTTCCAGCATCCACACTGCATCTCACAACTGCCTCGAACTCCAGTTCTAGGGGACCCAATGTCCTCTTCTGGCCTCCAAAGGCATGGCATATATGTGGTATGCAGACATGAATGCAGGCAAAACACACACACACACACACACACACAGACATACACACATACACTCACACACTACAAGCACAACCAACTTCCTACCTTTGAGCTGTGCTCAGCCAGCTTACCTTGCGCATTCTTACGGAGCTAATTTATAAGCTTGAGTTTAGGAGACTATCAGCTTGTGAACCCACTCCTCCAAGCATTCAAATGCAAGCCTGACTCCCAGAAGATACTAGATCCCTACAGTGAATCAGGGCCTTGACTCAGCATGGTGTTCTGTTGCTGCTGCAGCTGCAGCTAAAATAGCAACTGGTCCATAATAATCATTTTGTTCCTCTAGGATGTCTATGTTCCTATGTTTTTTCAAATACTCTTAAGTAGACCTCAATTAGTCAAGAAACATTTCTGAAGAATGGCAAAGCCAGCAGCCTTAACCACTGCATTTAGCCTATCGTGAGGTTTGAGGATGAGATTTCTCCTACTCACCAACAGAGACAAACACTGGTTCATTATTTATGTACACTATAACCAAATCTCACTGAAAGTAGTGGTGTGATTAGGGGAAGGTTTAGGAAAGCTAAACTACTTGTTTATTTTATATCTTTTTTCTAATGCCCAAAGAACCAAAGTCCTCCAAGCAGAGCAGCCATGGGAAGCATTTCCCAGCCCAAGGAGAGCAGAAGCACTTGCTGCCCCAGTTCTTTGCAACAGGTTCCCTCCCTCCTCTTGTACCTCACAGCACCAAGTACATCATTAGTTTAGCATCTGGAGCATAGGTAAGGTCACTGAAGAGAAGCCCACAAGTTGGCTCATCCGGTGGAAGAAAATGTGGGGCCTTGCTGAAAACTCGAAACAAGTGTGAAGTTCAGCACCCACTTGCAACACAGTGATAGCCCAGAAACCGGAGACAAGGGTCACCTCTGTTCCCAGCCCGACTTACGGTGTCACTGTGGGAAGCCTTGACTTCACTGGTTTTAGTATTTCGCCAGCACATTAGAGGTGACTATCAATGTAATGTTACTGGGGGAACTGAGAATCACTTTGGAGCTTCCTGGAAGCATGGAGCAGAGTGCTGGAAAGAATAACTTAGAGCGAAACAGGCAAAGAGTTGTGCTACAACTCCAGTTTGTTTCTCTTATGGAGAAAGGAACTTTATCTTTTTAAAATAACAATCAGAGTAACCCCAAGGTATTTTATGCTATTTGTGGCTATCGTGAAAGGTGATGTTTCTCTGATTTCCCTCTCTGCTTCTTTATCCTTTGTGTATAGGAGGGCAACTGATGTTTTGGAGTTGATCTTGTATCCTGGAGGGAGGGGGGAGGATCTTGGATTTCCCGCGGGCGGAAACCCTGACTGCTCTTGGGAATGGTAGGGGAGGAGGAGAGGGAGTGGGGGGAGCGGGAGGGTATTGGGAGGAGGGGAGGAAGTGGAAAGAGTGTTTTGCATACTTGAATAAACAAATCGGAAAAAAAATTAATAACCTCCATGTCACAACTGGCCAGTCTTTGTAGAAACATCCTCAGATTTCCATACATTTTCTGTCTGAATCCCTGTTTCTCTGTCTGCTATACTTTTCATAATTTTATAAAATTATTTGAAATTATAAAAAAAAATAAAATAAAATAACAATCAGAAAAACGAAGAACAGAAGTAGAACATTAGGGGTTCAGAGGTTAAGAGTCTTTGTCTCTTTCTCGAGAGAACCCCCATTCAGTTCCCAATACCAGTGTCTGCCAACTCACAACTGTGTGTAACTCCAGCCCAGGTGATCTGACACCATCTTCTGATTCCCAAAGGCACTTGTGCATGCACATGGGCACACATACTCACCACACACTCACACACACACACACACACACACACACACACACCACAGTGATTAAGATGGAGGAAACACATACACACAAATAAAAATAAAATCTTTAAATTAATTTTTCTAAAGAAGTAGAAGCAGAACAAGGTGACAGACATCTAAAATACTTTCTAGTCAGGGAGCTGGGCCCCCCAACTTCTCAAACGAATATTTATTCAGACAAAAGAGCTCTTTAAAATTATTTTAAAAAACCCCACAAGTTAGTGTGTCAGGAAGCTACAAAGCTCCCAATAATAACACCTGATTTTTAATACTTCATATTATCAACTCACTTTGTTGTTGAGTGTACTTTTGCAATATGCAAAACTTGATAAAAATTTTGAAGTTTTAACCAAGATGGTGACTCTTGCAGTGTAAGTTCATGCTAAACACCTGCACTTTAGCATTCTAATTAGCCCTGCAAGGATGTGAGTGTGTGCTGTGCAAGCCACAAACGGTAGAAGAGCATGGCATGGCTAGGTGCAAGCCAGGCATGGTGGAGGGGTGTGGCTTAGCCATGTGCAAGCCAGGCATGGTGGAGGGGTATAGCATAGCCATGTGCAAGTCAGGCATGGTGGAGGGGTGTGGCATGGCTATGCTGTTCAAGCCAGGCACGGTGGAAGGGTGTGACATGGCTATGTGTAAGCCAGGCATGATGGATGAATATGGTGTGATAACTCCTGGCCTCATTGTTCCCATATAAAGTGTAATTTCTGTGTACACAATGGTGAGGTACTCTTTCATTACTTTGGAGTAAGTCAACTGCAGATACAACACTAAGATTGTAGAAGATTATTAAGAAGTTTTGGGAAAGACTAAGGATGACCTGCTAGCTGGATGTAGGAAGGATGGTGATCTTTGTTTTCAGAGAGAAAGGAAATAACTGCTTGTGGCAGAAATTCGAGAAGTGAGAATATACTTAAAAGCAGGGAAGTGGATAGAGAAAGAATGACAAAGACCTAGTCAGCAAAAGTGAAATCTCCGTAAAGCCTTATAAATGCATGGGATGGCGAAGAAAGAGGAAGGAGGGAAATGGGATTTCAAGTATGAATGACTGGAGGAAAATCAGCTCACTGAGGTGGGGGTGAAGCAGGGTCCTATTTGCTAGATAACAAGGTGGGCGTGCAGAACAGGAAGATGGCTGATTTTATAAATGTGGGTGAGTTTTTTACAGGGCAAGAAAAGCAGAAAGATGGGGGGTGTGTGCAAACTCTGGGGCAGGAAAAAAACAGGGAGGACAAGGCAGTGAATCATGGAGGTATTTTAAAGGGTACCTTAGGCAGTTAAGGTATGATTAACATGTGGATAATGGGAAAATGCCAAAACAACTTTCACAAAGCAAAAATAAATCTTAAAACTCTGTTTAAGTCGTCAATGTTACCTGAAGGCAATGGGTTAGACTAATGGATTAGAAAAAGATAATTAAGCTATTTAACCATTCTATCCTAGTTTTAGTATTTTTCCTTCCTGAGAGAAATAAATCACTGTCCTGAAACTTGCCTTAGAAGGCCTTGAGACATGCTCAGAGGTGAGGAGCTCTTGTTCCTGCAGAAGACCTGGGTCTGGTTCCCAGCACCACATGGTGGCTCAGAACCATGTATAACTCGAGTTTCAGAAGATCTGATACCTTCTTCTTATGTCTGTGGGCACCAGATACATGTGTGGTACAAAAACAGATAGGCAGGCAAAACACTCATACATGTAAAATAGAATAAATAAACCTTAAAAATAAGTTTTTAAAAGAAAACTTGTTTCATAAAAATTTTATAGAAAATGGCACAAGATTGATGGTTACCTTCATTTTTGAAATCAGTTAAATTATAGACTACCCATGAGTCATGCGTATATTAACAATCCCTTTAAAGGAAACATACTTGTGAAAAAATTACAGGTGAACTAGTAAAAACTCCAATAAATTAACATTTTTAAGCTTTAATGCATTATATCATTTACATTTAAGCTTGAGTTGCATGAAGTCATATGGAAGAGATAACTTTTGGATCTTGTTCTAGCATCACTCTGAAAAAATAAATGCAAAGTTTTCTGTAGCCACACAAACAATTACCAGCTAGCAGTTCTGACTCTGCTCCCCAAGGAGGAAAACAACCTGGTGTTTCAGCTTACACATTGCTCGTGTGAAACATCAGATATTTTCCAATTATATTTATATTATCATAGAATAATAATAATAATCTTTAATTCAGGTTTGAATATTTCTAATGTAAGTGTTATAAACAAGGAAAAAATCCAACATTTGTCTTTGGTCATAGAACTTTAGCTTAAGCCATCAACAAAATTCAGAAGCCATTTGAAGTCATCAACCTTCTATAAGGAATGCATTCATAGTTAGCTCTTCAATGTTAGCCCAAAGACTTTAGTTCCAATTTATCAAGAAAGGATGTGAGGGATACAGGGATTTGCATTATACAATCTATTTGGTGATCTAGTTGTAAAATCTTCACCTAGGTAAATTAAATTAAGCTTCTTTTTATTAAACATGGGCTAGATCCATTTGCTAGGCATGGGGGAAGTAAAGACAAAGAAATGTCAAATGACAAAACAGGTGAAGAAGGGCTTTAAGGCTTAGCTAGGAACTGGTAGGATGGGGTTAGAGACAAGCATGATGGTTTATCTTATCATTAAAATTTCTTTGTAACTAGTTTGAGTATGTGGAATTGGAGACAGAAAATATGAAGAAAGTTTCAGGTAGTACACTTACTTCTTAAACTTGGCCTTCTAAACTCATTGTTGCAACACAATTGTTCAGGTTGAAGGGATGCTTGGTTATTCTAAATAAAATCCTCCACCACCACCAGATTTCATTTTGTTTTGTTTTCTGTCTGAAACAAACTTCTTTACTCCTCTCTCAGCAATTACTAATATAGGTATGTTTTGTACATAACAGACATTATTCTATGTGCTTCATGTAACTGCTAGTGCTTTAAGCCTAGCAACAACCTATGGAAGCGAAAAGATCTCTCCATCTTTGCAGAGGAACAAACTGGGGCACTGAGATACCAGGATAACCATTTAACCTTCAAAATTTCCAGACCAATGTTCCAACTGTTCATCATTGCCCTTTCTCCCTGCCATGACTCACACCTCAGTTCCCACAGAGACCACAGAGCAGGAAAGCAGGTTGGGTGAGGTCAAGAGAAGCAGCAGGGTAACAAAGAAAGCTGTTATACCACCTAGAATCTGAAGTCATTCATGACTTTCTACCATCTACAGGGTTTGTTGTTGTTGTTGTTGCTGCTGTTTTTAAACACTTTTTTCTTTACTAAGAAGCCTTCTCTGGACTCTGCAAGGGCGCAGATGCTCCCCTCCCCAACTCGATCCCAATATCAGTAAACAACGGGCAAAGGGGATCTGATGAGCCTGTGTCTTATATGTGCACAGTCCTTTCTCCAAAGAATACCAGAGAGTCTAAGAATAGCCACCCAACATGGAGGAGGAGGAGGGTTGAAGAAAGAAGTGGAGAGGAGGGAACAAGAGGAGAGAAAACTCAGAGGGTACCTGAAGCAAGAATTTGATAAATAAATAAATTTTATTTATCAAATAAATAAATTGAATTTTGATAAATTGAAAATTGAGCAGTCATAACACATAGTGCATTACATCCTAGCTTCAGAAATTATTCCTCTTTCTTTCTTTCTTTCTTTCTTTTCTTTTGTTTTAAAATGATATATCAAAATTTTAATCCTGAGTAAGGGTAAGCAAAACAGAAAATATATTCAAAGTAGGCTCATAAAATGATAGGCAAAAAGTGAGCATAATTCAGAGATGAAAACCAGTTACCCATATAAGGCTTATAGCCAGAATATGAATCAAAGGCACAAGTCCATCATCCATCAGAGTCGAATGTCCATCCCTTTAATGTGATACAAGACACAGTAAATACTGCTACCACCCCCAACTTCACTAGGATGCTTCACACATCATAACTGCTTTGTCTGAACCTGAGAGGTTCAAAATTTGTGATTTTTTTCAAACATTCTTGAGATTTCTTAGGATCCAAAGAAAATATTCATCAAGGTACACCTGAAATGTAGGATTCAGTTGGGAAGGGAAGTGGAGGGGGCATGAATCTGACATCATCAAGCATTTGCTAAATCAAGAGTCCTGTAGGGAAGGGCTGCCATCTGAGATGAGAGAGGCAGAAGGTGGAAAATGAGGGCAGCTGGCCAATGAGCAGGACCTAGAGGAAGAGCAGGAGTTCTTACATCAGGGAAGAGCAGAGAAGCAGCCCCAGAGCCAAGAAAGAACACAAGTGGCGTGCCCTTGAGCTGGTTTCTGGAGTGGGGTTGAGGAACAGAGAGGAAGGCATTACATAGCAAGACAAAGTACAGCAGTTTCAAAGCCCTCAAAGGGAAACAATGTAGCTAGAGTGAGGAACACCAAGTAAGCTACTGGCATGTAACGCAAGGGAAAAGATGTCAAAAGGAGATCAGAACGGAGGGCTTGGTTTTAATAATAGTCAGATCAGGAATACAGTGATGTTGGGCACCTCATACCAGGTGTCCATCTGCTTATGGGCATCTGGAAGTGTCACTTGACTGAGAGTTTGCCATACAGAGGACAAAAAGTACACAAGAATATGAACATAAGAGTATAGAATTGTCTTCACTGAGCAATGATGCATCATAATATGCCTCCTTTTATGAAGCACTTGCCCTGCTCTGGGCAGCCCTGAAAAGTAAATAATATTTACATTTCACGAGGTTAACAGATGCTAACTAGTCACATACCTGAAAATGCCACAGTCAAGATGCTGGGGGTGACTTCAGAGATGTTTCAGGGTTTGCTATTCTACCAAAGAATCAGTTCTGCTGCAACCTGAAATCTGGACCTGATAGATACAAGAGAGAACAGAAGATTCCAGAGTTTTAGAATAATAAAAAAAGGTGCATTTATTTGGTCTATTTTACTCATCATGTGCACTTGACTTGACTTTGAACCAGTGTATTCTGAGGATCATCTGACTGTAACTTAAGAGTGTGGGCCACATCAGTTACTTTAGTTGCATCAAGTTTCCTTCTCTAGAAACCACTCATGGGTTGTTAGTTACTACAGACTGGCAGGTGACTAATGTAATGTGGAAACTAATGTTTCCACGCAAATATCAAGCTTTCAAAACTGCTATATTCCAACAGGTTTCTTCTGAAAAAATTAGTCAGATAGAAGCTCATTAAAATATTGATTGCTAATCGTCACCTAGCAGATCCTAACTGATGACGCATGGTGTCCACTGTCTGTGACCAGAAAGAATGCTAAGGACCATCCAGGTGCTGAAGGTGTCTTTCAGTGATGATGACGCAGAAGTCAGATAAAGCTTGTCAGTCAGGGAGACTGAAACCTCCGGAGTCAACCTGTTAGCTTATTTGGCTTAGAGCACTATCAGACGTTATAGAAAGTGTTGTGGGAAAGTAAGAAGAGATAAAATCTGAAACTTTAGGTGGATTTTATCACAAAATCTTGTGCCTTTTGGAACTTGGCAGCAAGATGTTTTTGTATAGCAAACTGGCTGTCTAGTGTTAAATAATTCACTATAGAAGATAAATCTTGGTACAAGACCAATCCAAGGCAGCCTTTAAATTCATAACGTCAAATGCAAAAGAGTCATTTTATTTATTCAAAGTTCATATCTTATCTAACAAAGTTTCTCCTCCTCCTCCTCCTTTAAATCTTTTTTTTTTTTTTCCGAGACAGGTTTTCTCTGTGTAACAGTACTAGCTGTCCTGGAACTCGCTCTGTAGACCAGGTTGGCCTTGAACTCACTGAGATCTGCCTGCCTCTGCGTTCCAAGCGCTGGGATTAAAGGTGTTGCCACCATTGCCTGGCTTCTGGTCACACTTTTTATCTTTAAATATAAAGATTCTTAAACATGGAGTATATGGGAATGTACATACATACAGATATATGTATATATGCATACATATGGAAATATAAAAAGTAATATATACTGTGTACTGTGATGTGCACTGTTAACTGTAAGTAATTATAGATTCACACTATTTCACATTTTTGATGGGAGAGATTTGATGCTCAGTGGAGGAACTCTTTGGATCATTTTTTTGAATCTGTTCAACTGAGCACATAAAATCTCTAGCACATCAGTGTCTACCTTGTTTGTAACTTTGGAAAAGTTATCTCTCTCCTGGCTTTCTCTTAGTCTTTTTCAATATATGTTCTGAAATGCAAATTTGAATGCACTTTGGCTGCAGACCGAACTCAACCCTTTACAATTTGTAAGTCAGCAAGAGTACGAGTAATTCTGTCCAAAGTGACCCATTTTAAAAGATGACCCATTTAGAAACCCATGAGTTATTATCCAAGCTGTTCTATATCTGAGAATTAGAAACCTATGGACTTTTTCTACAAATCTGTTTCGATATATTTATTATTATATAGAGAGATTTGATTCAAATTTTAATGAAATATATAAGTACTTTTCCCTTCCTTTCTCCTCTTTCTTTCTCTTCTTTCTTTCTTCCTTTCTTTCTTTTGCCTAGATTTCATTTTGAAAATCCTTTCCCATCTTCTGAAATCTCTTTGTAAACAAAGCAATTATAAGCCATGTCTGCTTGTATTCATCTTTCATCTCCCAGTTCCCTTAGAAGGGCTCCAGGGCTCCTGAGAGTTAGAGAACTTATCCATCATAACACATAACCCTAAGTGTCATAAGTGAGCACTTGGATGACTGACAGGTACAGACAGAGTCAGCCTCATCTTTGGTGAGTGCTTAGTAAGAAAGGTAAAGTGGGAGGAAGTGGCAGGGAGGTGAAGGGGAAGGGGGAAATGAGAGAGAGAGAGAGAGAGAGAGAGAGAGAGAGAGAGAGAGAGAGCGAGAGAGAGAGAGAGAGAGAGAGAGAGAGAGATGTTTTAAGTATATGATGGAAGTCCCTCAGGTACCAAATTTATCTTGCATTAAAAATACACCACTTGTTTCTTTTGACAAATCTTTTCCCTTGTTCTAAGACTGAACCAGCCTGTATTCCCAGCCCTCTTTGAATAAAGTTCAAACCTTATCAGCTGCTCACTAACCACGCTTTCGGTGTTCAGGGTAGGGTCATTTCTGCACCTTCAATCATCCTTTTCTGGGTCAGTTTCAGATTTCTCATATCCATCTCCCAGGCATCCCTGCCCCTTGGGATGAGGCTGTTTCCCAAAATAAAGGCACAGAGGCGCAAATCCAATTCCAATGGATGTACTTTATATCCATTTAGTTACCCTAAATATTTGCTCTACCACCACAAACGGCCCATATAGTGGCGTCTGGGTCCCTGTAATATGACCCATAACCTAGGAAAACCAATACTGCTGCAAAGAGTGTGAGCTCAAAGTTGTTACTTTTACCAATGGGTATCTGAGCAATCAAAATCAAAATGCAAAATAAAATTTGGTATTGTTAAAAGGAAATAGGAGTAGCTAGGGGGTTTCTCATTAGGAAGAACTTTCCCCAGTTTCCCCTACCCGCCTGTTTCAGTTTCAGTAACTTCAGGCAGTTACTACTCTAAAGCAGCGGTCAGCTCCCCCACGTGCAAGCCGCCCCAGGCGGTAGGTAGGAATTCATGCTGGCATCGGTAAAGCTCCGGACCCAACCTGAAGCCCCGCGGGGGCTGGGTCAGGTCCTGTGAAGCCACAGCCGCCTCTCTCCACCGGTGGACCCGGGAAACCGGCTGCACTGGACCTAGCCAGTCCGATAGGACCTGCCACACAAAGGCGGTGACTCGGCCGGGGTGGTCGCCGCCCCGCGCTCGCGCCCACAGGCCGCAGTGAACAAAGGCGTTCGGCTGTCCGCTTTCTCCCTCTCCGCACCTCGGCAGCCTCGGCCAGCACCGAAGAGCCAGCCGTCCATCTTTCCGATGCTTTCCGCCCCGATGCCCCCCATCATCAGTGCGGACTAGGCTGTCCTCCCCTTCCCGCCTCGCGGAGGCGAGTCTGGTCCCCGGCTGGCGGAGGAAATCAGGAGGCGCGGCGGGGCGGGTCCGGGTGAACTGTACTCTGAGCAAGCCATCCTCTGGGAGGACCTCAGAGCCCGTACAAAGCAAGCCCACCCGGGGACTTAGACTCTGCAACGGGTGCGAGGGTGTTTCAGTCTAAAGCAAGGCGCAAGGCCACATCCCCCCACCCCCCGGAGGAACTTGGCTCACACAGCAGGATTTGGGAGCGAACGCACTCTGCGTGGGCAATGACCGACCTCGGAATACTTTGATCTAGGAGCAGCGATGGTGAAGACTCAGGATCCACTCATCCACGCATCACTTAGTCACTTCCGAGGTTTCGAATGGGCAGCAGTTTTGAGATCGTCCTAGTTTCACAGCAAGAAACCCTAAGAACTGACGGGTCTTTTGTCAGTCCGGACACTTAGGACTTTAGTTTCTGGGAGTCTAAATAACAAAGGGAGGAAGCTCGAATTTACATCAAGTGATGATAGCACACCAACAATCCGTTTTAAAAGCAAATCCCTCCTCTCTACCCAGCTTCCCCATTGATTTTTTTTTACCTTTAACCCAGATAATGTCAAGCGGAGCACACAGCAAAACTCACCAAGTACAAACCCAAGTCCCTAAACATCCATCCCAGTCAGGAGACCGGCTCTTCTCCCAGAAGCTGAAAACAGTCTCAAGAACAAAACTTACAGACTAAATTTCGCTGTAAGTCAGGCAGCTGGGGCGGGGCTGTTTTGGAGACCCCGCTGGAGCCGGTTGGAGCCGGTCGAGTTGGGCGGGTCTGATCAAGGGTCCAGGTTCCGGCAGGGGCGCAGAGCCTCCAGCTTGTTACTCAGTCACTCCACTCTAGGCGTCGTTTCCAAAGCTCAGCCCCGCCGGGCAGTCCTTCCCGTCCTTCCCGACTAGCCCGGTTTGTGAAGGTGCTGTGCACCGCCCTAACACGCTGTCTGTTGTGGACTCTGGGAAGTCACTTCACGGATTTAGAGAAACAAAGGTGCATCTGAGCTCACACGAATGTACTTGCATAGCCTGCAACATTTTTCTCTGCTCCCCTCTCTGCCTCTCCCCTTCCCACGAATACATTCATGTGTCTAGTTGCTTGTTTGGCAAATGGTATTCTAGACATTTCCTTATGAAAGCATTCAACAGAGGTCCTATTTTGAGCGGTTTTGTAATAAAACATACTGCAAAGGACGAAAACTGTTCTTTCAACATACTAATTTTAGAACATTTTGTATTTGCGTTTTAAGGGCCCTTCAGCACATTTCCAATCATAAATTCACATATTCATGTATTACTCACACAAGGCATGGTTCACTGTTAGTCTCAACCTGCCCAGGAGATCACAAACAGAAATACTCAAGTAATGGGACTCCTGACTGAGTCTGACGGTGATTATAAAGATCATTCATTGTTTCTACAGGGTTAATTACCCACTCATCTCTTCAAATACTAACTGTGATTCCTCATACAGTCCTACACAAAAACACATGTGTATGTTGTATTCATATAGAAACATTAATTTGGGACTCTATTCCTTCCCAGTCATTTGGAACGAGTTCCATGTATCAGCTTATATATGTTTTACACACACACACACACACACACACACACACACACACACACACACCAGGGGATAGGTAAAGGAGGTCCTTTCATCCATCTAGAAAAAATCCTAGAGCAGCTGACTCCTCCTCCATAGTACTCCAGAGAAACACACAGTTTCATTGGCAGAGATTCACTGGCCGAACTTGCACGAAGCTTTTGAGAGGGGTGGGAATAAAGTTCGATAATAGCAATAGGAGGAAAGAGGTCAGTGTATTCTCCGGTCCACAGTAGTTGCTTGTGAGCATAGAACCCTAGAATTCCATATATAAAAGACTTCATGCTGTTAGGAACATGCTTTATAGAGCACCAAAGAACTGTAGAAAACAAAACTCATGTTAACTTATTGAATGTGAAAGTAAGAGGTTGACATTTGCATGTTAGAATTAGAAAGGGCAGATAAGATGCTGCCAGCAGGGTGGGGGGAGGGCAGGAGGATAGGAATGGACCAGTGAGTGAAAGGAACATTAAACCCTGAGTGTAAGAGAATTTACCACACTGTTCATCAGACAGGAGGCCAGTGATGCTGAAATTCTGCTTAACACAGTTGAATTATGTCATTACAGTGTCAGGCTTGACTTGTTCAGCTTAGTTTGCTTTCTGGGCTGTCAGTCATAGCCCTCCACAGACACTGTTATGAATCCAGAAATATTCCAAGCTTAGCGTTCTGAAACCAAGGAGTATTCTTGCAAAGTAAAATCCTGAACCAGCTTTCTTGTGAGATTTCAGACAAGGTACCTAACTTCTCTCACTCATGAGTCTTACCTGTCTGCTTGGGGAGTAAGGACTTGGTTCAATGTCAGTGATTAGCAGAACACAGTGACTGGGGCCATCATGTTGGGTGGGGTGCCTGGTTGCCACCCTCATCGCCATCACAGGCTATAGAAAGCTCCTGCCACCTTGAGAAAAGGCAGTGATGGCTTCAGACTGTGCATCAGCATCACTGTCAGAAGAGGATCAGTGGTGTTTCACATTGGGGAATTCCAGTAGTTAAAACAGCAGTACCCCTTAAAATAATGCCCACCCCTTGGCTGCTTGCTCCTCTACTTCTCACAAATTCTTTTCACTTATGTACCTTTCTGGTGTGGTTGCTCCTCCCATATTTGCTTCTTGGTGACTCTTCCATTGCCATTCACCCCTACCCTCATCAATATTTCTGTCTTCAGGGAAGAATGTGTAAACTGGGATGTTAAAAAAAAAAAAGGAGTCTTGAGAAGCAGAAAGTGCATGGAACTTTGATGTTGCAAAGATGAGAGTCTACTTTCCGTCTTACTACTACTGTCTGTCTATAACAATCTGTGACATTTTGCCACTGAAAGATGATCTCTTTTCTTGCCTAGGTCAAGAATCTTCACATCCTGACTATGAAGGTGAAGAATGAGTCCCACAAGCTCCCTGACAATGCCTTGTGTAGAGTATATATAATGCCATATTACTATCTGGATAACTTGAAATTTTGCTTAGTGCCTCCACATAAGCCAAATGATACATTTTCATTACAATAAGCTCCTGGCATTGTAAAGGGTCTCCAAAGCTTAATTCTTTCCTGCAGCTTTCCCTATCGCTACTGTGGTTTGGTAACATTGATATCCCTCCTCAATGCCAAGACTATGGAAGTCAGTGAAATCATATTAACTTTAGTTAGAACAGGAACATGAAGGGAGCTGCTACAGAGGCCCTCACTTCAGGCTTTTCTAAGAACCCACTCTCTGCTATATTCTTCTTGGCCTGGTTGTGGCATCCTGGCATTAGTTGTCTCTATCAATGCGACCCATAAAGGCATCTCTCTTATGTGGAGAGCCTTAGTAGGGCCGCTTGGGGACGGAAAGATCCTTCTTTCTGAGACCCTTCTTGGTCCAGTAGAAGTGTCCTGTTGATAAGATGGTGTAGACAAATTATTCTGTCCCAGCAGCCAGTTCCCAAATAACCACACAGAGATTGCTTATTATTTATGATACCTCAGTCAATAGCTGAGGCTTATTACTAACAAACTCTTACAACTTAAACCAAAACATTTTTATCAATCTACTTTTTGTGTTGTGACTTTTTTACTTTTTCTCTGTACTGTCTATGCTGCTGCTTCTCCATCTGCCTGGAAACTCCTCGCAACTCTGTCTTTCTTTCCAGAATCATCTTTGCCCTGAAAATCCTGCCTAGCTATTGGCTGTTCAGTTTTTTTCTTAAGCCAACCCATTGGCTGTTCAGTTTTTTTATTAAACCAATCCAAGTGACACATATTCACAGTGTACAAAAAGATTATTCCACAACAGTGTGGGCCTCAGCCAGAGACTGAGAGAAGCTGACAGTTTTTCTTCAATATCAAAAACACTCAGACATCCCCTGTGGCAATGACATAGTACCGGTTTTTAAGCTATACTTCTCAGATTTCCTCTTCATTTTCTGGCAGCAGATCTTTAATTCTAGGGGCATATAGGGTCCTGAGAAGGCACCAGGAGTCCATCAGTTCACCTCCATCCCACTCAGGAGAGCTCATCCAACCTGATCGGAAAAGCAATAGCAAATGCAGTCTTGAATGCTGTCTGACTGACATTTATGTTTTTAAAGTCAGTTGACACCCAGCCTTTCCACACCTGAAAATGATTTGAGTTTGTGATGGGATAAAGGAAAGAAGAAAAGTTAGGCGGTGGTGGCACACACCTTTAATCCCAGCACTCGGAAGGCAAAGATTCTGTGAGTTTGTGGCCAGCCTGGTCTACAAGAGCTAGTTCCAGGAGGACAGGCACCAAGGCTATATAAAAACAAAAATAAAAACAAAAGAAGAAGAAGAAGAAGAAGAAGAAGAAGAAGAAGAAGAAGAAGAA